TGTACCCATTTACAGAAATATATATTTCTAAATGCGGTTTCTCCATCCTTTTAACATATTCACGTTCTTTTTCTTGCCAGTTTCTACTGTAAGTGAGGTTTTATTGAGCAGCCTGACAGTAGAGTTCTGTGTTTTACTGAATGTTTTCTTGGTGCATATGGCATGACACGGATGAGCAGCCACGGTGAGATTTTGGAGTCTATTAAACTAGCTCATTAAAAAGATCAATCTGTTTCTGTAATAACACTGGGAGCCATCAGTCACTAAAAGAGAGAAGAGTGACACCTGAGGAGACAACACATTTTTGGTAATTGTGCATGGCATGTTGGAAGCAAAATGCTCACTGTATTTTATTATAAATCTATGTATGGTTTTAAATAAGAAAACAATATACATTTGTTCCTTGCTCAGGTTAAAAAAAAGAATCCTCATCTATTGATGCCAGATAAGTCATTGTGTGTATAACGCAGATATAAAGGCCTCTGTGTGTATTGTAGTTCGAGGCCTTCTAGGACTGGCTATGTTTGCAATGTGGGTCATTTGTTTGGTGAGGCATGTATTTTGTGCCACAGAACACATGACCTTCCTCCACTCATTTTTGCAGATATCTCTGTCTTGCTATTATAAAAGCAAGACATGGAGTGTTTATGCTGACTTTCATCAGCAGAGGATAATTTCCCCACCTTCCCCCTTCCTACTGCAGCTGGTTGTGCCCTGAAATGTCGTTAGAAGAGACTCCTGTCCTCCAGGATTTTGTAGAGCAGGGGTGTCGAACTCATTTGTTATGAGGGCTGGATCTGACATAAATGAGACCTTGTTGGGCCTGGCCATGTGTGTCATAAAATGTAATGCCAGGTAGCGGAGATATAAACTTTATAAAAGACACAAACACAAAGGTTTTTTTTACTTAAAATAAAAACATGTTTAAAACATTAGCACTCTTGCAATATCTTGTTTAGGAGCTGCGGTGGCTCAAGTGGTTAAGATGCTGAACTGCAGGCTGTGGAAGGTCAGTAGTTCAGCAGTTCGAGACCCGAGTTGCCGCATGACGGAGTGAGCTACCGTCTCTAGTTCCAGCTCCTGCCAACCTAGCAGTTCGAAAGCAAGAAATTGCAAGTAGATCAAAAGGTACCACTTCGATGGGAAGGTAACAGCGTTCCTTGCGCCTTGGTGTTTAGTCATGCCGGCCACATGACCACGGAAACGTCTTTGGACAGCACTGGCTCTTCGGCTTTGAAACGGAGATGAGCACCGCAACCCTAGAGTTGGACTCGACTGGCTTTTGAGCAAGGGAACCTTTACCTTTAATTAATATCTTGTTAATTTAACAGTGTCTGATAAATGACACTTCTTGCTCTGAATTATTGCATCAAAATGTCTGTGCTGTTGCAATCCTGAGTATGTGTTCAGTTGTGTATCTGTAAGCTGCAAATCTACGATGATGGAGCAGCAGCATAACTGGAAGAAGAAGCAGAAGACAGCCAGTTCCACTGCGGGCCTGATAGAAGCCCTCTGGGGGGCCTGATCTGCCCCCCGGGCCACATGTTTGACACCCCTGTTGTAGAGCATTTTGGTCTACAGTGGGAAGGGCAGGTAAGGAAGTTTTGCTCCATTGACAAAACATCCTTCCATCAGCAGAAATGCTTCATGGGATCCAAACCGTGTATGCTCAGGGCACTGACCTGCAAAAACAGATCTTCTGCTGGTAAAATTTCTAGGTTGTTAATGGCACATTTAAATGTGTCTTCAGTCATATTTGACTACTTATACATAGGCCATTGTGCTCCTATTTTTATTGTCAGTAACAATAAGGTAACTTATTAACTTATTAACCACTTGAGCTGCAGTGGCTCAAGTGGTTAAGACACTGAACTGCAGGCTGCAGAAGGTCGGTAGTTCAGCAGTTCGAGACCCGATTGTGCCGCATGACGGAGTGAGCTCCTGTCTCTAGTTCCAGCTCCTGCCAACCTAGCAGTTCGAAAGCAAGAAATTGCAAGTAGATAAATAGGTACCACTTCAGTGGGAAGGTAACAGCGTTCCGTGCACCTTGGTGTTTAGTCATGCCGGCCACATGACCACGGAAGTGTCTTCGGACAGCGCTGGCTCTTCGGCTTTGAAACGGAGATAAGCACCGCAACCCGAGAGTCGGATTCCACTGGCTTTTGAGCAAGGGAACCTTTACCTATACCTAACAATAAGGTAGCAGTTTCCAGGCTTAATTTCTTAGTGAGAAGTTGACCCTTCCCCGAATCTTGAGGTGGGAGTGCATGTCAGCACTTGTGGGCCCTGGTTTGAAATTCTCCGTACTTTCTCTCCTGTGCTAGTACCTAGCAGCTACACATGATTTGGGAAGTTGAGAGATTCTGAATAGCATTTCATCCATTTTCTCTTAGTTGACTCAAATGCTGTCTAGTTCCTGCTTTCATTAGCTAGGAGTAATCTAGGCTGTGCAACAGAACCTGTTTACAACTCCAGATCTTAGTTCCAGGTATAAAATATTGAGCATTGGCAGAGTGCATTACCTTTTGGCTAAGGAACAGAGGCAGTTCATAAAATTCTTAACACAGTGCATATCACTACTGATAGGAAACAAATAAGTGGCCACTCTTTCATGGTAAGCAGCACTGGAGAGACAGAACCAGTCTCCTTTGAAGATGTGGAAGGCAAAGTAACAATTTTGAAGACCCAGATTTTGCTGCACTGTTTCCAGTTCCAAATATAATATTGAATACAATCCATTGAATACAGTCCATAGCATATCAATACAGTTTTTTTCAGAGCCCCTGCAGCCTGTTTGGTGTTGCTTATCCACACATGAGAATGCAGAAATAGAGAAGCATAGACCCTGGACTTACCTGGGGTCCTGTGTGTGGGCCTGCAGGGGGAGGCAGAAGGCATAGGCAGCAGCATTGCAGTGGACTTGAAGCTGAAGGGGGCTGCTGCACCTGCACAGCTCCCCTCCCCCCAGCCTAGCCAATCAGACAGGACCTGACATGGTCAGGGATGGGTGGGTGGGGGATATAGCCAGCTCTGCTGCACCATTCCAGTCAGCTTTTTTTGCATTGTCATGGTTGGTTTTGTTGTAACTCCTTGCTTCCTTTGTCACAACTGTATTGGTGGTGTGAGCATGGGGATAGATCCATTTTGGGGGGAAATGTGGCCTCTGTGTCTTTGGGGACCCTCTTAAGTGATTTTGGGGTGAAGGCTTTCAGGGGACATGCCCAGCTTGGTGTCTGTCAAAGCACCCTCACTTCAAGTGGCAAGGGTGACCACTTAGTGGCTTCCATCCATGTGGTATCCTTAAAACTGCCATCCCATGCTATCCCCCAGGTGGCCTGGGGGGGTAGTATGCTCATCAGCTGGCAGGTCTGTCACCAATAAAGTTGTGGCCAGTTTTAACCCAACAGAAGTTGTCTGACTGAATTGTGTGTGCTCATGGGGTTTTTGCCTTGCCATCCCCTGCCTCTCATCTTGGGACTGGGCCAGCAACTCACATGTACTGCATTTTCCCTGTTAACTATATGACCTATTTAGGAAAGGCCCAAGTGTATGGAAGACCTGTGCGACTCTTTTCTCAGAAATTATCACATATGACACACTCACAGAAGCTGGGACAAAAGTTAAATACTGATGCATTCAGTCAAGATACAGATAAACTGTCCAGAGAAATCTTACATTTTCAGCTTTGTTAAATACCTTGTTAAGAGCAATGCAGACTTTTCAGTCAGTTGTAATCAATTTCCATCGCTGTTAAGTTGGACCAATATAATATTTTTGCTTTTTTGTATCATTTATCACAAAAGGAGAAAATGTATGAGTACTTTCCAAGGGGAACCTTTCATCGTTCTCAGGTATCAATGGAAGAATTACCTATTGCTGCCTTATAATTAATTGATTGCTTGCTAATTAATACAAGAAGATGAGGGCAAATGAGAAGGTTCTGAAAGTAGCATAGCTTTGACTCTGTGCAATAGGATGGCAATGATGATTTCTTTTGGAAAGGATCCACTTTCAAGGAGCAGCATGACAGTCTTAAAATTACCACTGTGTAAACAGTTTATGATGGTGCTTTTTTCTACCCAGTGATTTACTTTGTGTGTGTGTTCTTAAGTAGCAAACATATCAATAGGGATTATTTTTGGGATTATTTTTCCATCTTTGCAATTGTTGCTGCTATTAAGAAGATTTTGACAAGGAAGAACATTTGTATATGGGGCTTCCACAGTGTATCTATAAAGGTTTCAAAACCCAAATGCACAGGCTTGGATCCTGTGATGTTGTTCCCTTCGTGCTTCTCTCCAGTCACTGTGGAGGCTTTCTTTTGCTGTAACCCTCACTTGCTCCGCTGCTAACACTTCCGCATGTGCAAGACCAGTCTTTTTCAAGGAGTCTTTACAAGCACACACAGAAGTGCTAGCAGCCATGCACAGTTTTCATAACAAGTTTGACATGTTTGTATGTTTAAAGCTGATACTAGCAAGCAAGATAAATTAATGTTTCTGAAGTTTCAGCTCTGATTTGTGATATTTACTGCCTATTCCCAAAAAAGACAGCATTGTAACGTTTTGCTGTACTCTGACATGAATGCGACACAATATTACCGAGAGGCAGTGGTTCAAAAAACTTGCAGATAACAGTTCCATTTGTTGGCCAAAAGGAAAAAGACATGATTATGCTCAGTTTTGGTAAGATGATGAAACACAAAAATGATTTCTTCTAGTTTATGGATGCAGTTATTGCACCATCTTTAATACAGAGCAGGATACAAGCAGGAATAGATATTGTTTTGCCTGCTTTTTAGTGAAATAAGTGGCTGAATTTTATAAACATATTTACAGTGCAATCCTGAGCAGAGGTACACACAAAGCCACTGACTTCAGTGTTTGGGATTGTGCTGTCTGTCTACTCATCATAACAATTATTCACTTCCACCCTTTCAAACTGAACAAGTGGTGTACCTAAGCCTGCAACCAAATGTATTGTGCTCCTTTCTTTTCCAGAACCAAAGAAAATGGCTTTGACAGAGAGCCTTTGCACTCAGAGCATCCAAGCAAGCGGCCCTGCACTATTAGCCCAGGCCAGCGGTACAGTCCAAATAATGGCTTGTCTTACCAGCCCAATGGTCTGCCTCACCCTACCCCGCCTCCACCTCAGCATTACCGTTTGGATGATATGGCCATTGCCCACCACTACAGGGACTCATACAGACACCCCAACCACAGGGACCTCAGGGACAGAAACAGACCTATGGGTAAGCAGACCTCTTCCAAATCCATAAATGAGTTAAACGTCATACTTTAGTTACTATTTCATTGTTGTAGATTCACGTGGGTAGCCATCTTGGTCTGAAGTAGCAGAACGAAGTTTGAGTCCAATGGAACCTCTAAAACCGACAGAGTTTTATTCAAGGTATAAGCTTATACCTTGAATAAAACTTTATTGGTCTTAAAGGTGCCACTGGACTCAAATGTTGTTCTATTTCATCTAAACTAAGTATAAGAGAACCCTTGGGCTGATCCCAGCGCAGAGCTTGGTGGAAAAGATAACGCCACATATAAATTGCTTCTTTTCCTTCTTCCCCACAAGGCAAGAATGAAAAATACTCCTGGATATTCTGTACCCTTCCTTCCTTTCCCTTCTAAACAGAAATTTAAAGAGTTCCCAGTTTTTTTTAAGTATGAAAGGCACAGAAATGTGTGGATAAGAAAGAGCCTTTTAAAAACTAACAAATTTATTGTACCAGGTCCCATGGGCCAGAGTCGGTTTCATCAGATGCATCCCATATTTTATTAAGTATTTTTCTTTTCTTTTCTTTTTTTAAAAAAAATCCCACATGGATATAGGGAAAACGTGCTCGGCACGTCTCTTGTGTCCAACCCACTGAAACAAAAAGAAGTTGCAAAGAAGTGTGTAGTCATGCTTGTGAGTTCTTTTTAATTCAATGGAATTGCATTGGAGACATTCCTAAAACTGTACTGGCTTGCACAAATTAGTTCTGTTGTCTTCCTGTCATTGTCCTTTATGGGCTTTCTTCTTTTTCAGTTGGGAACTTTGAAAATCTGTGTGCCTCTGGCTCTGTGGGCCCCGACTGTTTTTATTTGATTTGACTGAAGCCCTCCTGCATTTTGTTATTGTATTGCATAATGGCTGTGTGGCATAACCAGGCAACTCTGTGCATGCCTGTAACTTATGAAGATATGCAGAACATGAAAATATTGTTCTTGGCAGGGTTGCATGGCACGCGTCAAGAAGAAATGATTGACCATAGGCTAACAGACAGAGAATGGGCAGAAGAATGGAAACACCTTGACCATGTAAGGCACATGACATTCTTTAACTTGCTCACACACACACACACACACACATACACACAGCATGAAAAGAAATTGTAGTTTTCTCCCAGTCAGGGTTCATACATGGATATGATATTTGTGGACTGGTTAGTTGGTTGTGCTCATACTACTTAAACATGTAAGCAATATATGGGAGTATAGGAAGTTGGGTTTGACATATGCATGAGCTGAGGCTGTAAACAGGAAATTTCCAGTTCATATTGTTTCTCTGCAGTGATCAGGTTGTTCTACCATGCAGTCCTAAGCAGAAGTACACCCTACTAAGTCCAATAAAGTAAATGGACTTAAAACTCTGCTTAGTTTTAAGTCCTTTAGAGGTCTTAACTGAGCTTAGGATTGTATGGTTAGCCAAGCAACTACCACCACATCCACAGTATGGAGACCAGAATACTGTCCTGCCTCCATTCCTGTTGTAAGTATTACTGTGTATATATGTAAATATTACATATGTACATACAAATGAAATATTCCTGTATAGTTTCTAAATATTGTTTTATCAGTGTTTTGTGTGAACGATATGCAATTTACCTAGGCATTATTATTGAGTTAGGAAGTTGTCGTGGTTGAGGTCTGTTCTTCTGTTTCATGATTTTGTTCCCCTCTGTAAACTAGGCAGTAACATTCATGGAAGTTGTCATGGTTGAGGTCTGTTCTTCTGTTATATGATTTTGTTCCCCTCTGTAAACTAGGCCAGTGCTAGCGTGAGGGGAGAACCATAGCATGGGTGTCCTCCTGTATGTTCTGGGACATCTCACGTTAACTCCATGGCATAGGAAGAAAGACCTCTAAAATTTATAAATGTTTGGGGGCAAATTGATAATAGAAAAAGTCAACCTAAGTGTTTGAACTGTTACTTTACAGCTTACCAGTTGTTCTGAAGTTGAAGTTCTCATTGTTTTGTTAGACTGAAAATAAACGATGATCCTAATCATTCACTTTCCCATTCTGACATCTAGCTCTTAAACTGCATCATGGACATGGTGGAAAAAACGAGGCGCTCTCTCACTGTGCTACGGCGATGTCAGGAAGCTGATCGGGAAGAACTCAATTACTGGATACGGCGGTACAGTGATGCGGAAGATTTAAAAAAAGGCAGTGGTAGTAATCATTCCAGGCAGCAGAGTCCAGTGAATCCAGATCCAGTCCCTTTAGGTATTATTTCTAAAGTGGAAACATATGAGTGTGTCAGGTGATCTTCTCTGTTATGCTGTGTTGCTTAGATTTTTGCCTGTGTCTGTCAGAATGTCTCCTTTCTTCCATTTTTCTTTTTCTCACTCTTTTTTTTTTTTGCAGCAGTTTGCTGTGTCTCTGCTTTATTCAGAATCCCCCATAAAAGGAAATTTGACACTTCCGTGTACTCACCTGAATTAGGCCTATCAGCAGCTACTGAATATATTTAACATGTGAAACCTATCTATCCGGACTGTATTAATATAAACAAGACAAAATTACCATCAATTTTAAGGAAAGGTCTTGCCAAAATAACTACTATGGGCGCCACTCTGGTCCCTCTGAAATCTCTCCCTTTCCACTTACAAATTATTAAAAATTCTGCCAAGTTTCACTTTGTTGTATCTAAGGGAAATTTGAACAGGAACAGTTTACAGAAGAGATCTTTCCTTCTCCTTGTTTATCTTGGGGGGAAATGAAACAAACTGGTGATCTCAGAATGGCTGGGTTGAATCCAGTTAACTATAAAAGGAATGAGTTCATAGAAATGTGATTGCTCCTCACTTCTTTCTGCATCCTCCTGTCCCACCCAAAAGCTGCTCCTAAGGGTTGGAGGGCCTTCAGGGACATACTGGGATATAGCTTGAGGGCTGGAACTCAAGAGGAAATTAACTTCAGTTAATTCTTTCTTCTTACTCTAGCCCCCAACACCAATTCCCACTCTGTTTCTGCTTTTCAGGGAAGCGCAAGGGCCTTTACCGAAAAGGGTAGAAAATCCTTTTCATTAATTCGTTCAATTTACAGTTCTGCAGAGCCAGTCCATAGTTGTCTTGAGCGGGAAAGAGCCAGTTTGTTTCATGTTTACCAAGAAAACAATAAATATATTTGTCCTGTATTGCCTGATAAATTGTATGGAGAAACACAGCCAACTCTGTTCTTTATAGTCAGAGGCAGGAAGCCAGTCATTGTTGAGTGAGCGCAAGGCACACTGTTGCAGTAGTAGGTACTCTTTCTTGGAACTGATGGAATATGCCTCTGTCATGTTAAAAATGCAAAAAAAATTAACTAAGGCCATCATGAAGTATAAATATTGCTTTTTTTGTTATGTGTACTGCAAAATGCCAGAGGTTCCCCTTTGTCATTTTTAATGAGCTAATCCACCCTGTAAAAATTACCAGCTTGTCATCTCAAGTAGCTTTGGGTGGAGGAGGGGAAGGCCATCTGTTGTGCCTTTGTGATTTATGGTGGTATCCAAGCTACAGGGCACTTTCCACCATATCTACTATAGTCTGCCTGTTCTCAGGTTTATTATAATGGCTATGCTCAGAAAACCTTATTTATACAATTCTGTGCATACATGCAAAAATCTTCTGCTTAGTCAAATGGATGCAGTTTGATTTTATTTGTGCAAGGATCTTGTCCAAGCTGCTTGTGTAAGGAAAATATGGCTTCTAATGTGGAAGTGTTATTGTTATGTGCAGAAATTTTCTGGATGATGACCTTTGTAATCAAAAAGTGCTTTGAGATGAGGGACTATAGCATATGCATATAGAAGGTATTGAATTCAGTGCTTGACACCTTTGTTTACAAGTAACTCAGATATTAGGAGCAAGAAACACTTCTGTCAGGGACTTTGGACACACGCTACTGGTCAAATCAGATAGCGGGCTGGATCTCTGTTTTCTACTGCTTCCAAGGACAACACTAGATCTTATAGGGTTACAGTGCAATACTAAGTAGAATTGCCTTTTCTATGGCCATTGGCTTCAGTGGACTTAGAGGAGTGTAACTGACTTCAATATGACATTCTGCTTATTTTATTTATTTATTTATTTATTTATTTATTTGCCTTTAATTTGTATCCCGCCTTGCCGGTACAAACTGGCACACGAGAATAGATCAGTTGAATGGTAGAAGAAATTTTTCTAACTCGCCATCACTGAAAGTCTTCAAGCAGAAGCTGGATAGCTAGCCATCGGTTAGTGTTGCTCTAAACTTAGATTTCCTGGATTGAGCAGGTGTACAGGTAGTACTAGATTTTCTGGATTGAGCAGGTAGTACAACCGTACTAGATGGCCTATAAAACACTTTCCATCTCTCTGTTTCTGGATGGATCAATGGGCTGATTCAGCATAAGGTTGCATGAAATGAAAACTAGGTGACATCATGTAGATCCAAATGCGGATGTTAAAAAAATAGCAAAAGGTTTTATATTTTGAGGTCTGCAAAAAAAAAAAAAGCCCAACCTTGAAAAACAATATACTTTTGTGTCTTTAGCAGTAAAACACTACTTACGTTTGTATATCAGTCACAGTTGGTTTAGGCTGATTTTAATTATGTAGAATATAATAAGGATGGAAGACGAGAGAGTAATTTTTTTTCACTTTTACAGTCCCCTTGAAGGGAAGCAATAAATATAATCTACCCGCTTTATTCAGGCCCTTACATAAGATGATGTTTAACATTATAAAGTGTATGGGATCCTCTGACTCTTGACTAGAACTACTCCTTACATGTGGTCCAGAGATTGTTTTGAACATCACAATCCGCTGTCACCTTCCTGAAGAATTTTATGTCATCTGCAGACTTGGCCACTTTACTACTCAATCTTAGTTCTAGGTCATTTGAGAGCAAATTAAATAGCACTAAACCTAATACAGCTCTCCAGAGGACTTGACTATTTATTTAAAACATTTCTATGCTACTTTTCCATCCAGGTAAGGGCTGCAAATATCAAGGCATTAAAAGCATTTAAATGTATATTTAAAATATTTAAGAATGCAGTAAAAACATATAGACAAGCAGGGAAGACAACCAGTAAGAGTTTACTGTGGGCACACTAAATGAAACAAACAAAAAAAAAGTCTTCCCTCACAGGTAGAAGACAATGACAGAGGAGAGACAAGCAAATCTCCCTGAGGAGGAAGTTCCAATGTTTTGGTGACATAAACTTACTTGCAGGCCCAGGGGCATAAAGGGAGCAAAGGTGAGGAATAAGACACAACACAACCATTTTTGGATAAAGAAAAATGCCACAGCTTTATTGGATGTACTGCAGGAGCATTGGCACAGCATGGGGGTGGATCCAAAAATTGGGTAACCTGCCTGCCACCTGATATAGCCTACTCCCAAACCACCTGCTGGAGTCAAACCATGAATGGCAACCCTCAGGATCCATGTGGACACTGACCACTGCATGCTTCTCTTTCCTCCTGGAGGTGAGAGCCCCACCAACAGCCCCTAATTGGCTCTACCCCAGGACCCCTTAAGAGAGTCCCCAAAATGGGGAGGAAGCGGCCATGAAGGTACAGCCTCCCACCCCGAAGAATCTGTCCCAATGCCCAAATCACCAAAAAGCTGTGACAAATAAACAAAACAACATAACCAAAATGTAACCCATAACAACAGAAATGCTGGGTGGGTGGGAAAAAGCTTCCTCTTTCTATTCCCGAGCCCTGGGCCACAAAGGCTGCACAGGCTAAGTCCTGGCTGCAGCTTTCTTCCTGTTACTTCTACCTACCTTTGTCCCGTAGTTTAACTATTTAAAGCATGAAAGGGCCTGTCTTTTGCCAACTCCTCAACACAGAAACTATCTGTCATATACCCAGGCACCTTCCGGAGTGTTTGGATTACATGTAAATATTACTTCCACCTTCTCTGTATTAAGTTCAGCCTGTTTAACCTTGCTATTTGACCAATCTCCAAACATTAATTCAGAAGAGATGCAGTTGCTTCAGCATGTTTACTTAATGAAATATGGATCTGAGTGCCTTCAGTCTATTGATGACTAATTTGTAATATTAAACAGGTTATCTATAGTACAGATGTAGTCCTGTGGAAGACTACATTGCAGTTCTAGGAGGACTGACCTTGTAATGGCCCATTGAATATGTTCTAACAAGCAGTATCAGAAAGATATGTTCTAACAAGCAATATCAGAAAGAACTGTTAGCAGTTCAGGCTGCATTAACAGACTGATGTGATTTGCTGAATCACAGGCTTCTGAAAAGGCCAAAATATCAACAGGAAAGAATTTTGTCAGCATCATGACATAGTTCCTCCATGTTCAACTGTCCTTAAGATATGAAAAGGTATTAAATTGATCTATAGCTGGTCTGAATTTTTAAAAAATATCATTATGGTCTGATTTTTTTTTTTAATGAATTGCGGGTGACCACCTCCTGTAAAGAAGCAAGGAACTTCTCTCCCCTTCCCAGGGGAAGTGTTTACTATCTCAGCCAGCAGCATCTAACCTCCACTCAGCTTTCTTTTTTTTTTTTAACTGTTTATTTATGATTTTCAGTATACATCATATCATCGGTTTACATTTCTCATTCTTGTGAGTCATACCTATTCTCCTTATCTAACCATTCATAAAACTTCTTCCATCGTTTTTCAAATATCTCCTTGCTATTACCTTGTATTGTCAAACTTAGTTTATCCATTTCCACTACTGACAACATTTTATCTATTACTTCTTTCTTAGAGGGCAGTTCTTCTTCTTTCCATTTTTTGGCTAACAATATTCTCAGCTTTCTTAACATCCCTAGATGACCAGGGAACTACACAGCATTTGGTGACCTTCACAACAGCGGGCATCTTGTCAGTGTGCTCAGTGTGGCTACAACCGTTTGCTCACAGATTTTCAAAACCCATAAGTCTTTTGGCTCAAAGAATGATGATGCTCGATCTTTTTTAAAGCTTTTGCTCACCTCCTATCCTAGATCTAGGGAAACATTTGCCTGTATTCACAAAGCTACCCAAATTAACTTCATCTTATCCGTTCTCATGTTTTTTTAAAAAAAACTTTCTAAAACATGTTTCTTATTATTTTCATCATTATTTATGGAGCTTTCCCCTTGCAATTTCAAAAAGGACTATGGAAATCTTTCATAAGATCTTGATTTAATTCTTCTTAAAGAGCCTTGGCTTCATTATCTATGTGAATTGTGGTTGGAATATGAGCTTCATTGATCTTCATACTTGGAAATTGCACCAATTAGCTGGTAATTCAGTCAATGATGTCATTGAATTCCATTTACATTTGACTCTTGCATACCTAAACAAGCTGCCAATGCAGCATTTCTCATTGTATTTGTATTATGATCAATGGCATCATGTCCAAAGGCCTTAGCAAACATTAAGATTTTATTGAAAAGCTTCTCCCATGTGGGGTTTGATAGAAGATTGTGGCTAGAGGACTCTGAATACCAGAAACAAATGTGTGCTTATGGTCCTGTGACTATTGTCTTTATTCCAGAACTCTGGCATCCAAAGCATAAACCTAAATATTGATCAGAAAATTCTCATATATAATCTGTTTCTAAAAGTAAAAGGGAACCTTTTTACATCAAAGAATGCTGTTTCCAGAGAATCTCGATGGAGATGTTTTTACCTTAATTTTCTTTCCTTGATGGTACAGTCCAAAATCCACTGAATTAATGGAATTGTAATGATCTCTGAATGCCATGTGTTATGCTTACTGTCGGCTTTATTGTTAAGCCTGCCATATTCAACAGATATGATTTATCAATGTGATTGCTACATTATCAGTGATATGCATTCAGCTATGAAGCTCTTTTTGCTGGGAGCTTAAGAGGCACCTAGCTGCTGGATGTTTCCATCTTATTGATGGTTTCACTCCAAATTAAATTTAATTAAATATAATTTTGTTTTAAAATTATTAAAGAGATAATAAGGACCTCTGTAAACAATACTGCTATCACTCTGTCATGTAGTGTTTGATTGACATTGCCTTTCCTAATACTGAATTTTGCAGCAAGTGTGCAGTATGGGAGGCAGGGATGAGTGATGCACTGACCTACCTAGCTCCAAATGTGGCATTGTCACATTACAATATTTGTCAATGTGAATGTTTATAATGTATATAATTAACGTTCAAGTGCCAGATGCCGTCATTTATTCACTCACTAACCAAACGTGAAGTTTATTTTAAAAATCCTAAAGAAAGAGGATTTGTGGCCTAGGATTTGACTAAAACTTGAACTACAAGTTTAGGGATAGAAAGTGGAACTTTGACCCACTCCAGACCAAACACTTTACTGTACTTGGATTATACATCTTTAGACTGCAGGTATGTGAACATGTTTGAATGCATAACTGTGAAAACATATTCCTACACATAGAAAACTGGGGTGTCAAGAAGAACATTAAACCATTGAATCAATAAATACTGCAGACATTGAAATGATACTGTCCTAAAAATGATTTCCCACATTATGACCTGTTAGCCTAAACCAAAAAATTGTCAAGAGATCCAGTCTTGTTTCCAAGATCTTACAGGAGAAGAGAATGGACAACTAAGCATAATTCTTCCTGTAATAGTTCCTCACCTTCCCTTTAGAAAAATAAATGTACAACATTTTTTTCTAAAGCTTGACTGCAAGCAACAGTGAAGAGGGAAGTGTCAAGAATCTCATGTGGATGACTTTAAGAGATCTGTAGTCCATAGTAATTTACAGTGGCAAAGAATCTGATCAATGTAGGATAAATTGTTCGATCTCTTCTATAAAATGGTATTTAGCCAGTTTGGGGCAGTGGTGAAGTGCACGGACTCTCATCTGGGAGACCCGGGTTTGCTTCCCCACTCCTCCTGTTGCAGCTGTTGGATGACCTTGGACAAGCCATAGTTCTGTCAGAGCTATTCTCTCAAGACCAGTTCTCTCACTCAGCCCCACCTACCTCACAGGGTGCCTGTTGTGGGGAGGAGAAGGAAAAGGAGTTTGTAAGCCGCTCTGAGACTCCCAAGTGAAGGGCAGGGTATAAATCCAATCTCCTCCTCCTCCTCCTCCTCCTCGTCTATTTTTTCCATTTTATATAAAGATTATATTTGCTCCTTTGTCAGAAGCATTGAACAGCATTTTTAAAAATTGTCTTTCAGCATCTCTCATAGTACTTTTTCTTTTCCCCTTTTCTTTCCCCTCCTTACAGATTCACATCGGGAATTCCTTCACAGGCCTGCTTCTGGATATGTGCCAGAAGAGATCTGGAAGAAAGCTGGTAAGAATTGTTTTAAAACATGAATGTAGCAGTTTGGCAGCTGTGTGTATTTGTTAATGTGCTGATATGAGGAATGGGGGAAAGGCATACTAGCAACAAACCAAAATTTCAGTTAATACTTCTAAGCTGGAAGATATCAGAATACAAAATCTTTTTTAGCTATAGCAACATCTATCTCTGTAGAGAACAGCATGTCAATATGGTATTTAAACAAAACAAATCATTTTCAGAAGTTACATTGCATTTTCTTCTAGAAGAGATGTGCTTGAGCACAAAACTAGGGAAGATCTATGAGTAGGATCTTGCACAATTGTTGAAAATTAGCAGATCTTTGAGGATCAAGGAAGGATCTCTTGGTTTGTATGTCTATCCGTTTCATCCCAAGCTAGTCTGAAGCTTCACTTGAGGCTCAATATTTGTTTAACTGTTTACATTTATGAGGTAGAATTTCTGACTTTAAAAAAGATATTAACAGTGAAAGTCTTCAGTTAGGAAGCCTTAATGTTTTTGAGGTTTAAGCAAGGGTCAGTCCGGAAGAAATGTACCATGCTTAGCTGCTTCTGTGGAATGTGGAATTCTGTGGGACTATGCATTAGCTTTTTGGTAGGACTAAGTTTATGGATGTCGATGCAACAAACATGAAATTAAGCAAACTTCGGAGCATGACGGAAGACAGGATGGCCTGGCATGATGTGGTCCATGGGGTCGCGAAGAGTCGGACTTGACTATGCGACTGAACGACAACAAGAACAAGTTTATGGATCAGTGTGAGGTCCAATTTCTGGATCCTATCGTGCTAGCATTAGAGGACTCTGCCAATCCATGCTATCTGTCTCCTGCATGGGACTATAGTGTGATGGATAGAGTGTTGGAATTAGAATGGAGGCAGCTTGATTCTAATTCCTGCTCAACCACCAAGCCCACTAGGTGGCACTGGCCAAGTCAGAAAATTCTTCCTGATGATGACAAAAAGTGCTGGCCAAATTTGTCACTATTTATTTTATTTAAACTATGCTGTGCTCACAACCAAGGTTCTTGAGGACAGACTAATGCACAATATGTACTCCTCATGCAGTGAATTCCCTTCTTTAGAAGGGGAGCTATACTGGGGAAATATCACTGTACTGGCTGACTTCACTACATTGGTTCCTAGTACAGATGCCAGCCCCCAGGTGAGACCTGGGGATCCCCTGGAATTACAGCTCATCTCCACACTACAGAGATCAGTTCCCCTTGAAAAATGGGTGCTTTGGCAAGTGGAATCTATGGCATTGTACTCCACTGAGGTTCCTGTCTTCCCCAGGGTCCACCCCCACATCTACAGGAGTTTCCCCACCTGGAACTCGAAACTCTACCCCCCTAACCCTTGCTGGTGGCAAAGGAGGACCTGGCAACCCTAATCCCTTGACTAGATTACTGAAACATGCTGTGCATGGGCTGTCCTTGAAGACAACTAGGAAGTTGGCCACCTGTTTGCTTATGGGTGTGTGCCACTATGAACATATGACAGTAGTATCAAAACACTTTCACTGGTTACCTATATGCTTCTGGGTTCATTTCAATGTATGGGTCTTACCTTTAAAGTCGTTCATGACTTGGGGCCATCTGCTGTCCTGGAGAGAGGCAAAATGCACCTTTGCTTGTTTGTTTGTGTAAGGTAATGCTTTTCTGCATCTCCTTTTGCTTACTTGGCTTTTGGAGATGGGATGTTCCTTGATCTGGCTGCTGGGGTTTCTGGCTAGTTATTAGTTTTCACTGTTGCTTTTTAAAATTTAGGCTGATGGCATATTGTACGGATTTTTTGTTTCATGCTTTTAATGAACCTCTTTTCAGGTTGTTCTCTTATCTGTCTTGAGTTTTAAGATATAAATATTGTAGGTCAATAAAACTCACCTGCCTCCCATCAGCTTTTAACCAAAGCACTTGTTGCCGTTGGAAAGAACTTCAGCTGGCCGCACTCTGATCTCTGTGAAAACCTTCTGTTGCCATTATTGCTGCTACTTTCCCTTCTCCAACAAGGGGGAAAGTTATTCTGTCTTGTCCAAGTTATTCTGCCACCACTAAGGAATCCTCATCTACTCATTGTTTTCCGTGGAAGACCTCCTGAATATTCATAGTTTCAGAGGGCGCCCTGTTGGTCTGCAGTAGAACAGTTAAATTAGGGTCCAGTAGGACGTTAGAGGCCAAGAAGATTTTCAGGATATGAGCTTTCGAGTGTCAAAGCTCACTTCGTATGATGAAAGCGCTACTGGACTCGAATTTAACTGAATATTCATGTTGCTGTTCCCCAGACAGAAAAAAGGATTGGGGGTGGGAGAAATCAAACTGTTGGAATGAGGCATCCTATAGTTTAATAAAAATGAAATTGACAAGCTTTCCCTACTTCTGCTCTGCAGCTACAGCTTCAAGCGGGGAGGGAACCATCACCACCACCACCCCATTTTTGTGTTGAACCTCTTGCAGGACTTGATTACGATTTCAGCTCCAGGGACTCCATATCTCATACATGGGTTGCTCTTAATAGAAGCAGAGGGCTGTTCAGTGCCAAGCCTATGCTGGCACGGAGCTGATAAACTTTCCAAGAGTCCTGTATGCTGTTCCTCCTTCCCCACCCCCAGTATACACACTCCAAAGCAAGCTGATTGCCGAAAGGGAATCCTTTGTACACAACTGCTCACACTTTATGCTGATATACTTGAACCTGGACAAGTTTTTCAACAGTGAATACAGATGTCATAGAAATATTTCTTAAATGATACTACTCATTTAATCTATGGGTTCTGAGTAGTGCCACATTGAAATTGAGTAGTGCCACACTGGAATCTGCATAAATCAGGCTTAACAGCCATAGAATCAGAGAATCACAGAGGTGGAAGGGGCCATACAGGCCATCTAGTCCAACCCCTTGCTTAATGCAGGATCAGCCTACAGTATCCTTGACAAGTGTTTGTCCAGCCGCTGCTTAGAGACTGCCAGTGAGCGGGAGCTCACCACATCCCTAGGTAGCTGATTCTACTGTTGAACAACTCTTACTGTAAAAACGTTTTTTCTAATATCCAGCTGGTAGCTTCATGCCCTTAATTTAAACCCATTATTGCAAGTCCTATCCTCTGCTGCCAACAGAAACAGCTCCCTGCCCTCCTCTGACAGCCCTTCAAATACTTAAAGAGAGCAATCATGTCCCTCCCTCAGCCTCCTCTTCTCCAGACTGAACATTCCCAAGTCCCTCAGCCTTTCCTCATAGGGCTTGGTCTCCAGGCCCCTGATTATCCTTGTTGCTGTCCTCTGCACCCGCCCCATTCTGTCCACATCCTTTTTGAAGTGAGGCCTCCAGAACTGCACACAATACAACTGCACACAATAGTCCAGGTGCAGCCTGACCAATGCAGTGTACAGTGGGACTATGGCATCTTATGATTTGCATATTATGTCTCTGTTGATACACCCCAATATCACATTAGCCTTTTTTGTCACTGCATCACACTGGCTGCTCATATTTAACTTATGGTCCACCTATACCCCAAGATCTTGTTCACACACACTGCTACCCAGAAGTGTACCCCCCCAATCCAGTATGTGTGTTCCTTGTTTTTGTTACCCAGATATAAAATCATTTTATATTCACTATGATGTATGAAAAAAATGCAACAGCCAAAGTAACCTCTGAATCCACCCCAACCAAAAATCTACTCTATTTTTCTCCCACTGATGCACCTCCCATCCCACATAGGGATGATATAATTCACCAATCTCTCATATTTGAGAAAAAGGGATATTCCCATTTACAATGTTCCAGTGAATCAATTAACCCAGTAGCACATAAGCATAGCTTCTCCGAATAGGGAGAGCCTTCATATAATGACCATTAATTACTTGTGATGGTATAGAATTCAACCTAGCAAGCATAGACGCTCTATAACAGGGCACAGTCAACTCTTTAATGTACAGTGGGAAACTTCTGGGATTGGACAATTCCAGAGCAAACTCTACGTGCTCTAATATGACATCTTAGAAAATCCAAATCGTAGAAACAATCCAAAATTACTTTTCTAGCTCTCTTCAAGCCCACCAACTCTAATTTCAGAATTTGAATTCCATCCCAACATAGATAACCTAGTTTCGATTAGTTGTTTCCAAGAGCTTATATGAGTCCTTTCCTAACAATAAAAGGCAACAATTATTTTCCAAGGTGAATACAATCTTCAACCACATCCTGAGGGCAGCTGTCCAAGCTTGGGTTTCAAAGAAATGAACACCAAGTTCTGATCTCAAAACAGTCCCCACTACAGATCTAGAATCATAGAATTGGAAGGGATCTCCAGGGTCATCTAGTCTAACCCCCTGCACAATGCAGGAAATTCACAAATACCTCCCTCCCCACACCCCTAGTGACCCTTGTTCCATGCCCAAGATGACAAAAAACCTCCAGGATCCCTGGCCAAACTGGCCTGGAGAAAAATGTCTTCCTGACCCCTAAGTAGTGATCAGCATTCCCCTGCTTGTGTAAAAAAGGGCATGTAAGAAAGGGCCACAAGAACTAAGCACTGATGCAACCCCTTCTGCTCTTCCTCTCATGATCTGCGTAAGTCCACAGAATCAGCATTGCTGTCAGATGGCCATTTAGCCTCTATTTAAAAAACCCCAAAGAAGGAGAGCCCACCACCTCCCAAGGAAGCCTGTTCTTCTGAGGAACTGCTCTGTCAGTAAGTTCGACCTAATATAGGGACTCCAGTGAGACTACACAAAATTTTTGTCAGTGAATGGTCCAGTGTTTCTTGACAAACCGGAGCACCATTTAGAAATTGAGTTACTACCTTACAATTACATACTGTCACTGCAGCAGGAAGATATTGCCTTAGTATAAAAAAAATGTGTAATAGCTTTGGAAGTTATCACGGCCTTTTCCCAAGCATTCCTAAAACGGATCTTCCATCACAAATTTGTCTGGAAGTAGACCCCTAAGTAACAAAACTGATTCACTTGTTCTAACTTTTGCTTGCCAGTTCTCCAGATATATTTTGGAGATCGTGACCTAGAAAAGACCATGAATTTAGATTTATTGCCAGTTTGGTGTAGTGGTTAAGTGTGCGGACTCTAATCTGGGAGAACCGGGTTTGATTCCCCACTCCTCCACTTGCACCTGCTGATGTGACCTTGGGTCAGTCACAGGCTCTGGCACAGCTGTCCTTGAAAAAGAGCAGTTTGTGTCAGAGCTCTCTCAGCCCCACCCACCTCACAGGGTGTCTGTTGTGGGGAGGGGAAGGGAAAGGAGTTTGTAAGCCGCTCTGAGACTCCAAGTGAAGGGCGGGATATAAATCCAATCTCTTCTTCTTCTTCTCTTCTATTGTAGTTGACATTAAGGCCTTCTTGTCCACAGTATTCAACAAAGGCCTTTACCAGTCAGTGCAAACCTAACAGCATCCTGGTGCACAAAAATATTAATGTTGCTTTGATACTAAAATTTCATATTTTTACATTGCTATGTTAGATAGTGAACCATAACTACAGAAATCAAAATATATTAACTTCCTCAGGAAAAAAATCTTTCAGTTATAGTAGTCAGAATTTTTTTTTTAAAGCTTTGATTGAAGCTTTGGAAGCATATGTGTGTGCATGCATGCATTTTGATATGCACACAAACACACTTATGCAAATACAGGAAGATTATTATAAAGCATTGATACTGTTTCTGGACTATGGACAATAGAATGGTGCCAGGATTTTCAAAGCAGAACTGACATTTTTGTCAGAAATAAAACATTAAACACTTGGAAAGTGTGAATAAAATCAGATGATTCTGAGCGTAAGCACTAATGGTTAGCAATTTTTAATGTTTATTTCAGTTTATGTTGGAATTTGGTAAGAGAGAATTTCAGAGTGTTATTACCAAAAATATGCATATTGGAAACCGATTCATAAGATACAAAAGTCCTGTATTTAAGCAATGACTTTTTATAAATAATAAAACAGCATCATTGTTTGCAGTTGGTAATAAATATTCAAGCACCTTGCAAATGTCCTACCAATTCTCTTTGTTGATCTGTGTGTGCCGGTGGGACTAGAATAGGAATGCATAATTTAAATATAAATTGCCTTATTTGCATATACAATTAGTCAAGCTGCAGCTTTGATCGTAAGCAAAAATTATTGTCCTGTTGCCACTTAGATAGAATTGTAATTCACCTTGAATATTCAAAGTAAATTAGTCCCACACTCACATAGCTGAATGGTCTGATTTCCCGCTCCCACAAACATTTATGAGAGGGTAATGGGAGGGCACATTTTTTTAAAACTCTCATAAAAATTAGGACAGGCATCTCTTTTTTTTCTGAAACATTATTTCAGTAAAATATTTCCTCTTCAGATTTTTAGACTAGACATATCTTGGAAGACAGATCACTTTTTGTACATCAGATTTTTGTTAGCATATTTATAAATATTTCAGTCTTTTTTTTTAGTAACAACATGGAAGTAGTTGGGGTGCATCAGTTAGATTAGGGGTTTGATAATGGGATATTCAGAACTGGGTTGGATCTTGGATATTAGGTGGTGCTCTTCGATAATATGGTGCATCAAATGGTAAGATTCTGACCGCAATCCAAAGAACCATGCAAGTATTACCAAGTACCTAAGGGGACTTTGGAATTGTATTTCCAGAACTGTTTCTCTCATCTCTGTGCCCCAACACACATAGGTGAAACTGGTTGTGAAACTCAGCAGGCTGTCAAAAGCTGTTGTGATATGACACGGGGCTTTGCATTTCATAGGGGGGTGGGGAAGACAGCAATACTACTAAGGAAGCCTTTGGGCATGTTTAAAGTAGCCCTTGGGAGTCCAGCCTATATGTTTAATTTAATTGTAGCAATTTCATGGGTTAGAAGATTTGGTGTCCTTTGTTAAAGAGAAATAGATTTACAATCCCATGAAATACTGCATATCCCACTGTAACCTCAGAACGTTTGTAACTCTAATATTTTTATTCTACAGTAAAACATTTTTATTAGGAATCTTATGTTTTTAATTAAACAGAACATTTAATTAAGGTGCTTCTTAAGTGGGTGAAACAATTAGGTGCAAACACTTGAATGAAACATGTCATAATTAGTTTTAATAGAGTGTTAATTGGTACTAGGTTTGCCAAGTTAATAATGACTGCTTATTAAATTTTCAATTAATCATTGTCATTTTACTTTGAATAAAGATGAAAATTAGATACACTAAATTGGGGGAGGATAGTTTCCTTGTTAATTAGAACAGTTTTTTAAAAAAAGAAATCACTTGTTTTAGTTGTCAGTCGAACAAGTGAAATCTTCGCACTCCTCTTGCATTTTTTTTAAAAAAACCTCTGGCTCATTTATGACAAGTCATGTTTTCCAGTGTGAAAAAGAATTATGTGTTACATTAATTTCTATCTAACAAATTATAACCATCCTTGCTTTATTTTAAGGCAGTGGTTCAGACATTTATTTGCACATATGCTTATCTAGAACACTGCATTTCTGTCATTTAGCATAACCTGAAAACTATTTGAGAGAGGACAATTCTTTACAAATGTCTGTAAAAATAAATCTGTGTTTAATATGCACATTCTACAATAGCAAATGCAAGAGGGAATTTATGGCAATCAAATGTCAAAGAGCTGAGCTAAGTGATATGCTATTTGAGTTGTGGTGCCTTCCCACAGATAAACACACATCCATATACAACATTTGACACTGTGATCCACATGTATTAGGTCATAAGTAAGGTTCGTGCTCCTTAACATTGGTCAGTGACAAGGAAATTTCTCTTTGAAGTGGATGAGATTCACATGTGGTGAGCATGACAACTGCTAAACATATTGGCTTGGATCCTAACCTTTTTTTCTGCATTCAGAAGGCACTTCCACCAGAGGAAGGGAGGGAATGATTTTTGATAATTCTTCCATCACTTGAAAGCCTTCACTTTGCCTCTATGCTGTCCTGAGGGGGTCCATCAGGGGGACAATTTTGTGAGGCACTGCAGTCTACAGACTGTCCATCAGGTTGGATGTTAAGGACACCAAAAAAACAAGGGGCTGTTTCATGTCATGATAGAAAAAACTCTAATCTCCCATTTGTGGAGTCTAAAAAAATAAAGATAACTTGCAAGAAGTTATTCCTCCTAGGAGACAGGGATTCTGGAGGAAGTTACCTCTACTGCCAGTGTAGTAGCTTACTTTTTCGGTCACCTTGTGAGGACAGATGTGTTAAGCTGAACTGTACAGATCTATTTCTCAGAATTAGCTCAAACATCCAAGAGTATGTTTTTTGGTAGTTACATATTTCTAGATTGTTTTTTTGATCGACATGTGCATCAGAATGTGTCTCGGTGCAGGTCTATGTGTCAGAAAGTCTAAGCTACAAGATTTCTCCTTGATGTATGCATTTTCCATATAGAGACAGATCTTGTGTGCTCCTAAATCAGTCATTCCATCTTGAGCCCTTTAAGGTGGTATTAGTCCTGTGAGAGAATGATATTATGTCAACATCTACATGTCTGAATAAGTGTAACAGAGGACAGAAAATACCTAAGCAAATATATGCAGAATTATATTTATAATTGTTTAGTAATATGCTATCCCAACTGATATGCTATCCCAACTGTAATATGCTATCCCAACTGATAAACTGGAATGGAGTCACATTCATAGTATACTACGCAAGAACCTTCAGGGTTCTGTTTCATACTGTTACCCTTAGTTCCAGTCCCTTCAATGGTCCTGTTGAGTCAATGAAATTTTCTTGCCTCCTTTTCAGAGGAAGCAGTCAATGAAGTAAAACGTCAAGCGATGACTGAATTGCAGAAGGCAGTGTCGGAGGCAGAACGGAAAGCCCATGACATGATCACTACAGAGAGAGCTAAAATGGAGCGCACGGTAGCTGAGGCCAAGCGACAGGCTGCAGAAGATGCACTAGCTGTGATCAACCAGCAAGAAGATTCTAGTGAGGTGAGACTTTTCTCCAGACTCATTCCCAGTATAAACCAAAGTGGAAACCATCTTTGGAATTTCCCTTGCAAAATGTGACCTCTTCTCATCCTCCGGTATATATAATTCTGTTTTGGTCATGGACTTCCCTGAATCAACACGCTCCAAAATCAGTTCGCTCTCTGATCTGTCATTCAGAGGGTCTCCCTATCCACTGGCTGCTTTGCCTGAGTCTTGCCTCCAACATTCTAAACAGTTTGCTGTTCCTCTCACCCCCACAGCCCCCCCACAGCCAGTCAGAACACAGAGGTCATTTGCATATGTGGCCTGATTCGCCTTTGCCTCAGAACACAGAGGTCGTTTGCATATGCGGCCTCACTGGCCTTTCCCTCTAACATTCTAAACAGTTTGCTGTTGATGTTCTGAGGTAAAATAAATTTCCCCTGAGTGTCTGTTGGGGGAAACCAAAATTACAACTGCTTTCCAGATGGCAGAGATCAGTTCCCCTTGAGAAAATGGTGGACTCTGTGTCCTTATATCCTGCTGAGATGGCCCCTGTATGACAGCCAGTGTGACATATCAGTCAGGGCTTCAGC